ACAAAAGCAAAAAAAACAGCTCTTGAGAAAGTATATGACTTCAAATGCTTTTCGAAAATTCTTTTGACGACAGCAACTATATTAAGAAGCATTAAAGTATTTGGTTTGAACTTCTAGATACTTTGTCTGGGCGTGAGTCTTCGCTACACCCACACCCACCCTTTGTGAAACGTCTTGTTTTACTCCGCTTTGGATGATTTTCATTGTTGCTTTACCTCATTGTTTGCTCTCATGATGAATTCTTCGTTGCTATTGTGCACACAGCCCTCCTCAATAGGATGAATGCTTGAGAAACGAAATTAAAACAGAAACAAAAAAAAGGAGAAAAACAGGCATAAATGAAACAGAGCACATCGGTTTGTTTTAATATGTACGAAAAGCGCTGTTTGAAAAAGAAAAGAAGCGAACAGCGTAAAATTGTAAAAATTTCTTTCCAACATCAGATCACAATTTCTTTTCAAAAGGTGAAGGTGGGGTGAGGTGAGGTGAGTAAATGATTATGAGAATTCGAGAAAAAAGACACTACTTCAAATGTTATATTTTACTCCCAAGATATTGTGAATAGTCTAATTCGTTTTCTAATTATTTGATTTCAGCGTATGGATGCAGGTCTTGGTTAGGGCAACACAAATACACACACACACACACCCGCACTCCCTAGATAAATTGGCAAGCTAATGAAAAAATTTTCGGAGATATATTACGTCCTACACGGTTAAGTCTATATTAATATGATGGCGCTACCGTGTTTCTGTATTTTAGATTGTAACTGAAGGAAAGTTGCACCGACAATTTTGTTTTTGACTAGACATTTCATGGCACAAGAATCTCATAATAGAAAAAGTCAAACAGTAAAGTTTCGGGATCACACTGTTGAGATACAAACTGTTATTATTAATGGCATCGAGTGCCTGCGTCTAAGAGACGTTCAAAGAATATTTTCAGCGGTGCAGATCCTGTCTATAGATAACGTATATCAAGTATTTCTTCACGACGAATATGGTAATGATCTCGAGCCGTTGCGTATTGTTGCATGTGTTGACAAAGTTGTTGAAGCAAAAGAGTCTGTGGAACCTTCCTATAATGAAATTCGTAGCGACCTAAAGGAGATTAAAGGTATAGTCAAGCGTGTAGACATCAATGTACAGGAGATAATGCGCCAGATTGCTAATGTGATGAGGCAAATGTATGAACTGCATGAGTATACTACACCTCGCTATTTTTTCATCTTGCCCGCAAAGCATAGCGACATGATGCTGATCGACACCGTACAAAATTGGTTTCAAACTCACTATAAACTATATTTTCTATGTGAATGTTCACATGATCCAAAAGAAATGCATGTCGCTCCACATGAAGGCTATTCAATTAAAAAGGCGAGAGATTTCGTCGTAAAATATGCACCATATTTGAAAACAACTATACAAATTGCTCAAGTTCTACTTTCTGCCGGAGGTCTTGTTATTCCACAACTAGGAAGTGCGGCAATGGCTATCAATAATGTAGTACCGGCGCAATTGAAAAATCCTAGGTACTACGAAGATATGAAACAACAATTACAAATGGTTGATGATTTACTCAATAAAGTCAACAACCAACGAGATCGTGCAGGTGCTTCCGTAATTAGCAAACAGAAGTCAAAAGGAGCACCATTGCAAGGCGCAGAACTACGAGAAATTCAAACGTATCTAGAACTTGTAGATGATAAACGTAGCTTAGGAAATCTATACCGAATAGTCACTGATGACGGTTATGTTCGTTGGGTCTGTCTCCAACACTATGACGATATTAGTTTCAACAATGAAATGAGTAAATACATTAATGAATTTGATGCCATGGGAGGCAAATTCGATTCGAATACTAAAGAAGCATTTATAAATCAAGTGAATATTACTAAAGAAAATGTTGAAATGATGTGCAAGGCTCTTGGGAAAGGTTTTAATATTGTGAAGCTAATATGTCGAGAATGTTCAATCGACGAAGATCATCTCGAAAAACTACTTGACATCATCATTAATCGCTCTTCAATTCGTTGTCTAAATATGGGTTCGATTCGTGTACGAAACTTTTTTGGAACCACAAAGTATACTTGTCAAGAAATGGTCGCCGATTTCAACAATCAAACAATGAAAGTTCGCTTCTCCGACGTTAATCGAAGTGGAAATACGATGATGCTCGCTCGGCTTTTGTTTCAAAACAAGATATGTCGAAACTTAGACTTTTCTGCGAGTGATTTTCTCGGTTATGAATCTGACGTTCAACGTAGTCTTGAAACAAATGCAGTTCTAACAGATCTAGCTGTGGAGTATTCCAACAACATCGATATCCTCAACAGTATATTAAGTTTGAAAACAAATACACTAC